GCGTCCCCAACCCTCACCACAGCGGCTCGGCCCCAGCCCCCTCCAGCAAGGACCTCAAATTTGGAATTGATCGCATTTTGTCTGCAGAATTTGACCCGAAAGTCAAAGAAGGCAACACGCTGAGAGGTAGGTAGGTCTTGGGCTAGAGGCCTCAGGCCTCTGACCAGGGCCCTGACGCACCCGGGGTCCCTGGGCCATTCGGGGTACCTTTGAGCGTTTTGTTTTTTGTGTGTGTGTGTGTTTTTTTTACAATTAAGGACACATTGGTAAAAGGAAGGAGAAGAAAATCAATTGTGGGAAGAGTGAAACTCTAGGTTTAAAACTCACCTGCTCTATGTAAAAATTTAAAAAGCCCTAGGAATGTTTTAAACACACACACACACACACACACACCACTCTTCACAGAGTCAATGCGCATACAAATTGTTATTGGGAACATTTGCTACAGTGACCATCCCTTGTCTTTAATCACGTATCTAGAGAGGGAACTATTATTTGTTAGGGAAAGCCCGTTTGGAGAGCACTTTCCCATCATTTGTCTGATTTAGAGAGAAATTCCACCCCAGGAATGTGGCGAAACAAATGGGCTTTCAACTCCCGAGAGGAGACAGCAGAGCAAGGTCTTCCGGCGGCGCTGGAGGGTTTAGGGCTGGGATTCTCCAAAGGCACCTGAGAACGAGTTGGTGTTGGCGGCTTAATGTCAAGGCCTTCCCGGCTATAACCCCGTGGACACAGACAGACGGGACATGTCGCTCCCACATCGCCGCTTTGTCCACAATCGGGAGAGAGGGGCTTGGGTTGGAGACAGGGCGCGGGAGGAGGGGAGGGACACACCAGCCCAAAGGGTGTGGGTTTGCCTGACGTGTAACCCGCTCTTCTCTTGCCTGGTCCCCAGATCTCACGTCCCTGCTGACGGGCGGGCGGCCCGCGGGCTTGCACCTCCCGGGCCTGCAGCCTTCGGCCGGCCAGCTCTTCGCATCTCTAGACCCTATTAACGAGGCTTCTGCCATCCTCAGCCCCTTAAGCTCCAACCCGAGGAATTCAGTCCAGCATCAGTTTCAAGACACGTTCCCAGGTACGGAGCTTCCTCCGGGCGGGCAAGTCCGCGCCCATCAGAAAACTCGGGACTGACGCCTCCCCTGGCGAAGGCGGTGTGGCCATCCCGGAGTTGCCACCACGTCAGGGGAGAGAAACCGAAAGATTTCTCCCCGGGAGCTGGCTCTCTCTCTCTCTCTCTCTCTCTCTCTCTCTCTCTGCCCGCTGCCACAGGGAAGGGGTGGGATGGGGTAGGGGGGGCTTTACCTAGTCCTTTCTCTGGAGAGGGGTGCTTGAAAATGCAGCTGCAAGAGGCATTGCTTAGGATCATACACACAGATTTTGAAATGACTTCAAACCCTTTTGCTCCAGGAATTTGTATCGACGGCTCCTCGCCTGGGCACATGAGTGTACACACACACACACACACACACACACACACACACACAACAGAGAGATGAGAGAGACAGAGAGAAAGAATATCCAGGCCGGCATCTCTAGATTCTTCAGGCCTGGGGGACATTTTTTTAAATTTTTTTTATTGATTAAGTTATTACATATGTGTCCTTGTCCCCACATTACCCCCCACCCACCCCCATTCAGGCCTGAGGGTCGTTTTCGCCTGCCTTCCCCATGCCTGAAGGCCAGACATCAGCCTTACGCGTTTCCCTTTGGAATTAATGGGTGACCCGCTGGGCTTCTCAACTCACTATATACACTTGCTTTAGGCCTTTGCATGACCTTCTCAAAAGCTGTACAATTCCTCCTTGGAGGAGGGCTTTGTGAATGCGGGGAGGGCCTAGGGTTAAGCAGACCAGTTTTAAGCAGCACCCTGAGCCCTAGGCCCAGGGCGCTAATTCGGTCCTCCTGTGTGTCTGTCTCTCTCTTGCTCCCACCCCTCACCCCGACCCCGCAGGTCCCTATGCCGTGCTCACCAAGGACACTATGCCCCAGACCTACAAGAGGAAGCGCTCATGGTCACGGGCCGTCTTCTCCAACCTGCAGAGGAAAGGCCTGGAGAAGAGGTTTGAGATTCAGAAGTACGTGACCAAGCCCGACCGGAAACAGCTGGCGGCGATGCTGGGCCTCACGGATGCTCAGGTAAGCCAGCTGTCCATCCCAGACCCAGGGACCCCTCCACCCCAGCCGCTCCCCTGCCGCGGAAACACAAGGCCTTGCATTTCGGGGGAGACTTTGTGGACTCCCCGACGTGAGGCAGGAGAGAGGAGAGTGGAGGAGAAGGACGGAAGGGACAGCCCGTCTCCAAAGATGCGTGTCAACAAGCAGCGCCTGTTTATTTTGGCCGGCGGGCAAGGGAACCGCTGAGAAAGCAAACAGGCTATGGGAGATAATAATTACGGGCCCGACTCCACTGCAATTTGCTGGAGGAAGCAGTTTATTTCAGAAGAGATAGAAATCCAAAAGCAAGAGATTGTTGTTGGCTGTTTTTTTTCTTCTCTTCTCTTCCTTCCATCCTCCCCGCCCCCCTCCTGCTGCTGCTGCTGCAGGATTGTGAAATCCCCAGTTGTGAGGAAGTGAAAACATCATTTCAAACGGAATTACTTCGCCCTGGTCGGGCCAGAAGTCCGCCTGGAGCGGCCACAGTCCGATTTTCTTAACGGCATAAGCTCCGAAGAGAAATCTCAGGTGGGGGGAGTGAGGGAGAGAAGGAAAACAGCTTTCTTCGAATGCTTCAGAGCCTGGCAGCCGGCTCTGGGCTCTGCCTACTTGAGGACTTTTCAAGAAAATAACAAATCTATCATGCCTGCCTTCAAGGTCCGAATTCTCCCCCCCTCCCTGCCCTCAAATTCAAAAACTGGACTTTTTTTTTTTCTCTTTTGAGTTTTGAAACTAGAACAGTCACCCTTCTGCCACACCCCTGGGTACCAAATATTCTGAGCAGGCATAAGCCAAGGGCAGGCACTTTTTAAAAATGGTGCCTTTTGGTGCCCTCCCCCACCCCAACTCTGGGTCTCTCTGTCCGCCATTGCACAACTCCCCTCCCCAGCACACACACACACACACACACACACACACACACACACTGGAAGGGCCCAGCCATTTTCCACCAGCCGTGGATGTTATTTTTAAAAGGGAAGCTGGAACGTGTGTGAACGCATTGGGTCCCCCAGGGGATCGTCTGTATTTATATAGATTCCCCGCCCCATCCCTACCCCTTTCTCCATTGCGTACAGGTTTGATTCCAGAGTTTTCTGAGCTCCCAGTGGGATTGCTTTCTCCTGGGCAGGGGCTGGGGGCACTCATGCCAAGGAACTGCTCTTCCCTGGAAGGTCCAGCGGTACCCCCACTTCTGAAATCAACTCTTTGACCCCCCCCTTCCCCTCTGTGCTTCCTATAGTCCCTCCTTAAAAAGAACTGCTTTTGGAGGGACTTGCATAGGATAGTGGCGTTAGAGGAGGGGACGACTTAGCAGGAATTCGTAACATCGGTTCACCATGTAGTGGTGCGCAAAATCTTGGGGATATGTGCATTTTTTAAATTTTTTAAAAATATACTTTTATTACCCGGACTGGTTTGGCTCAGTGGATAGAGCGTACGGACTGAAGGGTCCCAGGTTCAATTCCGGTCAAGGGCATGTACTTTGGTTGCAGGCACATCCCCAGTGGGAGGTGTGCAGGAGGCAGCTGATCGATGTTTCTCTCTCATCGATATTTCTAACTCTCTATCCCTCTCCCTTCCTCTCTGTAAAAAAATCAATAAAAGATATTCAAAAAAACCACAACCAAGGTACGTGCCCTTGGCCAGAATCGAACCTGCGACCCTTTAGTCCGCAGTCCAACGCTCTATCCACTGAGCCAAACCGGCTAGCTAGGGCGATATGTGCTTTTTTTTTTCTGGGCCAGGGCGGGTCAGTCAGATTCCTGGGAGGGTCCTGACGCAGGTGGCGTTAAGGAAGCATCGATTTAGAGTAGAGATCCTCCCGCGTTTGCAGGAGAGGCGCAAGGATCTGCCTTTCCAACAAGTATCCGTGCAATTCCGGGCTGGAGTCTGGAGGCCTAGTGCGTCCTTAGGCGGGGACCCCTGGCGATCTCCTTGTTTCTCGCGCTGCAGCCTCGGGGCCCCTGCACCTAGCGCAGTGCCTGGCGCGTC